GAGGGATTTATTGAATTCTTAAGGTACGATAGAAAAAGTACTATAGAGGTCTAAATCTAAAGTACAATACCATATAAATATCACAGAAATGATAAAGTATATATATGTATATATGCATATATTACCTACATGTATCATACATTAAACAAATGTTATCACCAAGTAATATTTAAGAAATACAAAATACCATCAAGTGCAATATGGTGACCATAAACTCACTACTGAGCACCACAGGAACACTAAAAGTTCCTCTATAACCGTAATAGGAGTATTATTTATCTCAACTACAAACGTTAGCACTAAAAGTCTGCATTGCACAAAGTTAAAGATGTGTAGGTGCCCTATAGGGGGGGTGTTCTTCATAAAAGGTACAGCCCAGGTAAATTTGCAACGGCGTGCCTTTACTCCTTTACTCCGACTCCAAAGTGGTGGATTTTTCCTTTGCGGTGACCCAAAAGTGCCACTGTGATCAGAGTACAGGATGACAGTTATTAAGTAGGCCACTGTACGTTAACTTGCATCCTTGGACTAATTCGAGAGAGAGAGAGAAAAACAAACACTCCCAAAAGCCAGCTGGGTGTTATAATTTCACACTGAGGCACCGTTCATCCTCTCCCCGCCTCCCCCCGGCAGCGGCAGCAGCAGCCTCCTCCTTCGGCACCGGCAGCAGCGGCTGTTCCGCGGCGGGCAGTCCGGCTGAGAGCCCCTCCTCTCCGGCGTCTCCTTGTCCTCGCTCCCCGGTGCCCTCCGCCCCGACCCTGCACTCGCGATTCCGGTGACCGACAGGAGATCCGCTGAGGCCAATTTCTCTCATCTTTTAGATGGGAATGTTCCTGCGATGCTTTCCTTAGTGGGTGTCCGTCTCGTGCATGTCGTGGATGGACCTGCGGAGGACGGACGGACGGACGGACGGACGGGTGCGCTGGAAGGCGGAGGGTTCCTGCTCCGCGGGTTCAGGAGGAGAAAAAAAAAAACTCTTTACTTGCAAACGAGAGCTATGCGTGCACGCAGAGGGGACAAGAGGTGCGCATCTGGATGTCCATTTCGCCCGTGCGCGTGCACGTGCGCGTCTATGTCCACGTGTGCGTGAAGGTAGCAGCGCGGTGCGCAATGAGAGTGCGCCGCTTCGCGCCCCGCTCTCCACTGCGCCTCTCTGTCCCGGTCGGAGACGTTGTGGACCGGCACCGACGTGAGTGCGGTGATGGCGCGGTGGAGTCGTTGGGGTGGTCGAGCGAACGCCACGGAAGAAAGTAAGAATTTAAAAGAATAAAAAAACGCGATGGCTTTAACGTTTGCCAGAAGCTGACGGGCAGCACACGAAACTAAAAACTAAACCCGTCGCCCCTCTTCCCTCCGAAACGGCAGATCGTCCTCAAGCAATCCGCATGGCGCGCGTCGGATGCGGCGGTGACTCGAGTCCGCGCCGCCTGGACGCAGATAATCCCGCGCAGGTGGACAGCAGCGCAGTTTGGAGAGGGAGCCGCAGCGCACTGATACCCTGCACTTCTCTCTCTCTCTCTCTCCCCCCCTCTCTCCCTCTCTGCGTGTGTAGGAAAGAGAGAGAGAGAGAGCGAGATGTTTGGAAACGGATTCCTGCTGGGACCTGGAGTGATTTTTAAGCCCCGCAAGAAGCCCTCATCACTCTCTCTCCTCTTTATAAACACCTCCCTCCTGTTATTGAGCGCCGCGACCCATCTCCGCTTTTGTATTTAATATTTTGTGCTTGGGACGCGATGACGACACATCAAAAACGACCTCACTAACCTCCCCAAGAACTCCAGATGGGGTACACTCCTGCCCCCCCCCCTCCCAGGTTTTAATTCCCACATTTTTTCTCATTTGGAGGGGGGGGGGGGGGGGGGGGCTGTGTGTGTGGGAAGCATGCGAGCTTGTCATTACTCACACAATATACGTCCACAAAGCCCAGAGCGTACCACCTGCCCATGCATACTGTTAAACATCCTCACACACACACACACACACACCACACAGTGCACACACACACACATCATGACCAATCATTCGAATGCTAGTTCCCACACCATTGCTTTGCATGATCCCTGCTTATTTCCCATGAGCTCATGCTGCTGAGGAATCCATAGGATAACGAGCCACATCCGATTATGTAAATCACTTGTGCGCCTCGGTGTGGGCCGCAACCGGACTTTGTATGAAGGACGTGAGTGACATCAAGGGCCACTGAGACACCACCGATGATTGAGCTTTCGGGCAATGATACAAAAAAAAAAAAAAATCAGCACTTTCAGAGGGGCAAAGGGTATCTTAGATCAGTTTCCATGACAACTGAGGGTTTGAAGCAACTTTGTTGCATGTCACTGTGCTGTTGCTTTACTCGCCGCAATAGATTCCCTTAACGGCTGGTAATGTAGGAGTGAAATATCAAACCACACGACCTTCATGAATCTTCACTCATGCTCACCCTAAGACATCCCACCATCACCGCGGCACTCGCATCCGCCGCTGAAGGCAGTTGACTGTTATTTTGCCGCTTCCGGACGAATGTGGACACACTGACTCTACGGCCGCCGCCAGATAAGCGCTCGTGCCATTTTCAAATCGTCCCCAATCAGCAGAGCCCGCGGGGACACGGGTCCAGGGATTCCAACAAACATTTCAGCTACTTTACCCCCAACCGTTTGCTTTCTCTCCTCCTCTGCCGTTGTCTTTTTCCTCCACCTCCCTTTCTCTGTAGCTCTCACTCCCTCTCCAACACAGTCTGTCTGTGCGCTCTATAATTATTTCCATGGTTACCATTGAGGATGTGAGGCTAAGCCTGATGTACTATGGTAGTAATCTTTTCCTCTCCTCCGCCTGTTCCCCCTGTCCTCTCATGTGTCGCTTCTTCTTCTTCTTCTTCTTGGTCTTATGCCGCGTTGCTACATGAGTCTCTGCATGCCTCCTCTCACGCTCTCCTTTCTGCCACTTTTCAGTTGCTACATGTGCAATCTGCAAACATTTTAATTTGGAAGCTCATGCAGCTTCGGCGCGTGCACAATTTGGTAGCCATGTAATCCATACGAGAGCAAGTCAACCTGTCCCATAAGCATCAATGGTGTCGCAGCTTTAGTTCTCGGTGTGCATGGTAAAACAAGAGGCTTGTAGACATGACTAACAACCACCCTGCGGAAGTGCTCTTGAGCAAACACGGAGCAGAATCATCATTGGAATAATAATGCCCTTACTTTCTTTTTTCTTGGATAAGCACAATGTGAGGTGACAGGCAGCTGGAGGACTACCGGGGCTCAGATGGGCATGAATCACCAGTATAAATGCTGAGCAAATGTGCTCGAAAAACAGATACTTCTTTGATTTGTGAAGGCACAAACCCGTACGCACAAAAAGTTTCATGGGGAAATGTGCTTATTTGCTTTCTAGCGAGAGTGAGATGAGAAAATTGTAATGTCACTTGATGTCGTTACGGTAAATACAAAGCTTTAGCTAGCGGCAGTTATCGTAGCTCTGCATAAAGAGTGGAAACTAATCGCCTTTCTCAGTCCAAATTTAAGAAAATCCACCTGCAAGCACCTCGAAAGCTCACTCATTAGCGCATCATATCTTGTTTGTTTAATCCGGACAAAAAGTAAAACTACGTCTTGACTGAGAGCACAACCATACTTGGGCATCTGCTGGTTGCCTGGCAACCTCATAGTCTCAAGACTACATAAAGTTGCAGCCGCCCCCAGACGGAAATAGTCCCCCTACATTTAGAACCATAAAACCACTACCAGTAGTTTTAGTATATTATTAAATATAGATCCCCCCCATGTAGAATCAGAGCTGCAGGACGCCTGCTTCTTTCCAATGAAAATTTCACACCATTTAGACCAGTGGAAATCCAGCTTTTAGCAGGACGACTTATTCTTCATTTAAATTGAAGTACCAGAGACCGATGTGTTAGAAGAGGTTCCTTTTTGGGGGGATTTTCTGTGTTGGACTTGCTCTTTTTGTCATGTCATGAATGTAATACGCATATTAATCACTGCCATGGCAATTTAATTGTATGTTCTTTCCTCATAGTAGATTAGCTGATGCTCAGGCAACAAAGAAATTGTGTAAATTCAGCACAAATGCATGTGGGGATTATTTTCCATTTGGCTATTAATTCAGATGCACTGAATTAATATGCTACTTGTTCAGCGTAAAATACCTCTGAGAGTGTGGAGTATTTTTATAGATACTTTTATGCTACTTTTTATATATTGTATTTTAGACATTTTGTTACAGCAGCAGTGCATTTCCGGTTGCGCTTTTATTTTGAACGAACAGAGTATGTAGAAGCGGGACGATGTTAAAAGGACGGGAAAAGTTATTAAAACGCGGAAGAAAGTATGAAAGTTACGGTTTACTAGTTATAAGTTAAGCACCTGGTTGTTATGGGCACAAGGTTAGTACCGGTTCAAGTTCATTCTTTGTAAAATATTGTTCTAGGTTGTTACTTCTTTTTGTTTTATGTTAATGAAAGATGCTAAACGGTGTTCAATAGCGTTTTACTTTATTTAATTTTCCTCTTAGCTCTTAAATTGTGTTTTTTAAAGATTGATGGACCATCAGTTCAGGACTCCATACCATTATTAGGCAGGGATGCTACATTCTATGCCATTGATTTGAAAAAATAAATAATTCCCCTATGTTTCCTACTGTGACGCAACAGAATAATTCATCCGAAAGAAAATTTAAACAGAAATTGTTTAAATTTATATTCTCACTAGCGTCACAATCCCTCTCCTTCCCAGTACGCTTAGGACTATTCTCTCTTCTACCAGAGATGGATCTCAAACTGCCGTCACTGCCAGGACCCCCCCCCCCCCCCCCCAATCCCCCCCCAGGCCAAAAGTGACCAGGGTCCATTCGCTTTGCCTGGACTGGAAACACTGGGAACACTCCAGGTTGTGTCAGCAGCCTCCCTGGTTCAGAAGACTGGATAACGGGATGGTGAGCTGACAAGGAAGGGAGGTACCCGGAGAGTTGTTACAAGGAACACAGGGTGACAGCCAGACCCCTTGAGAGCCGGAGGACAGAATGGAAAGATGGGAGGGGGGCCGGGTGTTGCATGGCAGGAAGCGCCACTGAGAAAGACTTGTATTTTGTGACGGGATGATGGATGGCTGCACAAGGAGGACGCGGCTAGACATGTGCACGCTGGTACCTGGCTGGGTCTGTGGCAGAATGACGACGAGGATGCCAGCGTGGGACGGGGCCGGCATGTAAAGACGGGTATTTCAAAAAATAAAATCACATCACAGTTTACGGCCAATAAATGCATGTCAGCTAGGGTTTTCACTGCTTCATCTGTGGTGGACGTCCAAAATCCACCCCACTAAGGTCAACGTTGCTTCTTGTCACAGGTCGGTTCATCACTGGGGTCCAAACCAGGCTGCAGCCTCCGGTTCTGAAAAGGGAATCCAGTTGGGAAGGGCCTTAAACCTGCATTCTGTCCATAGGGGGGCGTTGTAAAAAGAAGTGTAATTGTATAGAGGTCTTTGAGTAAATTACTATTTCTCACTTGATTTATTCCCTCAATAAACATTGTATGAGTTTATGGTCTCAATCACCTCAAGTCTATTTAGTAAATGATGGTCCCAATTTGAGTAAAACAGGAGATAAAGCAAGGTATGCTTTAGGGCATAGCTACATCTTGATACTACGCCCACTTCTCACATACCTGATATAGACTGAATTACTTAACCAATTGGATATGTAGCTGTGAAACTTCACCCAGACATTCATGGTTCTCAGAGGATGAAGCCTACAGGCTTTGGTGATGACCAGCATGTTGACAGTCTTGGAAACCGTTTATGAAAAATTTCTTCCAACACTTCAAATACGTCCGTTTCCTGGTTTTGGCCATCCTCGGGATCACAACAAGTCACTGTTTTTCATTATTAAACCCTGATTTTCATATTTTTCCTCCGCCTTTCCGCTGATTCAAAATGCAGCACTTCCAAATCGCAGCCTACATTTTTTAACCTTTAAAATACTGCCACCTGCCAATGGTGCATCGGCCACCCACACAATCACATCTCTGCAGCCCTCGTTTTCTGCTATCCAGTTATTGCAAACTCCTTTGTGCAACACGAAAGCCTGTGCCAGTAAATGTGGACAGATTTGAAGAGGTGACCATCATACCCAACTGAGCCAAGTACGTCCTCAGGTGCGTCATTGTGGGAATCAATCTTCCCGAGTTGTAAAAGAGGGAACAATGTCTTTAAGGAAGGGATGTAACTGTGCACTCGAGTTCGGCTACGATGCATAGTGCAGTTTAGATGTTAAGAGCTGCTTTCAATATAAACCGTGACCTCCTCAATGCACCACTGTCGTACTGTAATCACACTCAAATGTGCTGTTGAATATGAAGTCCACGGGTTCATGGAGGATACAAAGATGTATTTTCAAGAAAAACATTGTCCTGAGGGCAACTAACCTCTTACCTAACAGTAATTACAGTCCTGTTGTTCTGCAGGCAAACCAAAAACTAGACAAGCACCTCACCTGGAATCCATCTCAAAGTGCAAGGACACCGCGATCCTTGCAAAGAGAACTTTCAGACAATATCCGTCACGAGGTGTGAAGCACAGACAAGACATTCTTTTATTTCCTACGGACAGACACGCAGTAGCTGAGCAATTAAACATATGTTGAACCTGCACGACAACTCGAGCATATTGCCGGCTTTGTCACATCCACCTACACACGCGAACGTATCTGCAGGAGAACAACTTGCAGCGGGAACAACGCGCCGCACAAGCTCAGACTTTCACCGGAGCCACAACTCGGCCAGGTACAAAAAAAAACTAAAACTAAACGCATTAAACGGGCGATGCGTGAGGAAATATGTATTTCAAATGAGCACTGCACTCGGGTTCCCCTGTTGAGGAGTGAGGCCGACTCTCACAGAGCTCCATGCTCCTCCGGGGCGGAGAGGACCGCGTGCATCAGCAAACAGAACCGCACGGAGCCTTGAGGTGGCAGCGAGACACGGAGCCGGTGTGTTGGCCTGACAACACCAGCCTCTTCTCTCCCCCTCCTATAATCTCTCTCCCCCCACTCTTCTCTGTTAATTCCCCCTTTTCGTCTTCCAACCGGATCCCCCTCCTCCCCCCTCCCGTCTCTTTCTTCCCGAGCCGGCATTGCACACGGCTGTGTGCAGATATTCAATTACAAGACGGGTGAGTGCAAACCGGGGAGAGAAAAAAAGAAAAAGAAGCCTTGATGGCACCACACACACACACACACACACACACACACACTTGCGAGCAGATCCCCGGGGACGGGAGTGAGAGGGAGATGTCACACACCAGTAGGTGCAGAGGGACGCGGAGAAGTCGACATGTTTGTCAGTGAGATACGATCGGATTAATGCGAGAGGTGTGCACAGCTGATGGTTGTGTTGAGCTCGTTCATTTGAACACGGAGAGCGACACTCACAAAAGGCCTGTTTTATTTTTGTTCTCCGGGATGAATCAATGAAAGAATAAATGACATTGACACATACAGTTGGGGGAAACAGCCTTTGAGGTACTTATAATCAGGGGATGAATTCAAAGAACACTTGCATTCATTGAAAATCTGGATGCAAGCATGCAATGGTATTTATCTCATTAATTCACTGCAGGAAGCATCACTTCCCCCCTGAACATTTGAGGAAAATAAGAAGGCGGAGATCCTTCTTCTGTGGTGCCGGCTCCTCTAAACAAGCGTGCATAGAGAATCTGTGTATCAAAGCCCAAAGACACCTGTCTCAGCATCAAGCAGTCGGAAGCTTCTCTCTGCGATCAGATATTTGACTTATTTCCGCGGCGTTGGTCCACAGTCGGTCCGCTCATTAGGCAAAAGTCATGTGTCACAGGGCAGTTGCCTTCTTTTTGATCCGAGAGACTTGGGCAAAAAAAACTTCACAGGGATCGGCGAGTTCACAAAAGCCAAAGGTGACTCGTTTAAAGGTGTTTTGTGTGTTCAGAAAGGTGAAAGGTGCAATACGCTATTTATTCCTGAGGATCTGCAGGAGTGTGGTATGGTAACAGAATAGAAGAATGAAAGTGCGTACATAAAAGCAAAATAAGTTCTCTTCTTTCTTACACATATTTCTATTACTCATGTTTTCGGATCAAATGTTGGTTATGACAGAAAGCATAGAGAGTTTGAAAAAGACAACTGTAAAAATAAAAGCCCATGTGTGTTGTCGTCGATGACTAATCTTCAGGGGGAAAAGGCTTTCCGGAGGAGATCAACTGTTGTTCTCCCTTCGACATCTGTTTGAATAACGTTTTTTCATCCTCAAACTATTTTTAAGGAGCGTCGATAAAGTATTTCATTTTAAAGTATCAATTGAACTTTTTGCCAAGTTTTAAACATTAACTATTTTGACTTTTCATTGGGTGGTCTTTTGTCAACTCATTAAACAAATTTTCTCATTTTTTGGAGAGTCAAAACTCTCCACAGATCCATCTCTGTGTAATTCCTTTATAATTTAACAATGTCACTGGGAGCAGCCTGCTGGGTCAAACTAACCCTCTAAACTAACTCTTTAAACTGAGTAAACATCAGTTGTAATATAATCTTTTAATAATAGAATGTAATGCGTGGCAGTTTGACAGAGCAGTTGCTAATTAAATGAAAAACCTCAAGATAATTGACTTTAATTAACTGTTTTCTATTGTCTTTCTATTGTCTTTTTTTAAGACTGCAGGGGATGTTGAACCAGTTTAAAGTGTGTAAACAGACAGCAGATCAGCAGATACAGGGCGCGGTGCATGTGTGAGTGCTTTTACTTTGAATTCACGTAACCTCCCCTGTCATTGAACAACAGCGTACTAAATTTAAAAACACTCCCTCATCAGAGTCCCCCGGGGAAGCTTTGAGCCAGGCAATTATTTCATCTATCACTTTGTTACATTGTAATTAAAACAGCAAAGTTTGACAGACTGACAACATTCAATACCGATCCTACATTAATAACTGAAATTAGAGCTGGCTTTCAATATGAGGAATACACGTCTTTCTTTTTACATTTTCTTTTACACATTACACATTATATATATATGACATTGTGGAATTCCCATTGATGTACAAATGGCCAGGAGAGATGGCCTCTCTCTCTCTCATGTCCACGATGGTCTCCACGGCGGCACCATCTCGTGGTCTTTCTGTCCCGAGGCACCGACGTCCCCCCTTCACAAACCCTCTCAGCGTACAGCTGCCGTCGTCGTGCCGATCACCTCACCCTGGACAATTTCTCTACCGCTTCCTCGGTTCTATTTTTACTTTTTTTTTTGTAAAAGCCGGATGAATTGCCAACTCGCCCGCGGCTCCGTCAAGGTTACCGCACCTTGGTTCTTTTGTGCATCTCTACATCTACTTTATTGTACCGACACAGCGCCAACATTGCTGCTTTTCTTCGAGCTATTCGTGGTTCACACCTGGGCTGCTGATGCATCACTGGGAGCTGGCAGGAAGCTAAAGGTTAGAAAAGAGCTTTATACAGAGGATTACCTTTGTATGGAGGCCAGGCACATGTACAATAAAGCTCCATTTTTTAAACCATCTCCTGACGAGTCTACAGTGCCCGTGTTTTATGCAGAGCGACACTTACTGCAGACTCATCTTGATGGCTCAACTGACCACAACACAGGGGAGGCACCTCAAATTAAAGGAATGAATTAAAGCTGTTGTCAGGTGCTTTTAAATGGTTATCAAACGGTCTCCATTTAATACCGACGCCTCCATGTGGCTATCATGAGCGAACAAGACTATAAGCGGGAGGATTTCCTATAGCTCTGTGATTATCGTTAATATTTGTCATCCCGTCGGATTCCGGCCAGATCGTCAGACCGTAGAGCAGAAAAAGAGAGGTTTTGTTGAGGGAAACCCTACGGCGGTTGTTTCACAGGGGCCACCAACATCCACACAGACTGAAAGGTCCTCGTAGTTGCTTTGATGAATTCTGGTACTGGGTGTGCATATCAGCAGAGGTCGGAGGTGTGTGAGAGGGAGATGTGGGTGCGGTGTGTGGAAAAGGTGCTTAACAGCAAAGCAAAGAGCTAATGCAACGTAGCAACGCTGGAGGCGCTGCAGGAGCGGAGCGGACTGCCAGCTTCACCCGGTCGTTAAAAGCCTTCATCAAATTACATTACATTACAGGTCATTTAGCAGACGCTTTTATCCAAAGCGACGTACATTACACTTTTAACCCATGGCTTTTTCACATTTTTGCCCAGGGAGCAATTAGGGGTTAGGTGTCTTGCTCAGGGACACTTCGACATGGTACATGGGGCAGCCTGGAATCGAACCACCAACCTTGTGCTTCCCAGCACACCTTCTCTAACCCCTGCGCCACGACGACCCCTCATCAAATGAGTTGGATTACGTTTCTGACCAGGAACAGTAGTCCAAAGAGTAGTAGGAGTTATTCTGATTACAAATGTAGATGTTCTGCGGGAAGGAAGGACGTCTGGTGTTGGTAATATGAGGACTGGAGCGATACACCGGCTTCAGCGGAGTGGCGCTGCGATATTGCACCAACACATTTCCGAGCTTTTCACATGCTTGAAA